GTGGTGTCTGTGGTGTTAGTGGTCTGTGTCAGTGGTGTCTGTGGTGTCAGTGGTGTCTGTGATGTCAGTGGTGTCTGTCTCACTCCAGACTGTGAGTCTAGCAGTTCTGTTGATGGTTCCTTCAGCGTTGGAGGCCGTGCAGCTGTACTCTCCAGAGTCCTGGAAGCTGATTGGCTGAATCTGTAAACCACCAGACTGCAACAGTGTGAACCTGGGAACCTGGACTGAACCACTGGCCAGAACCTGCAGTTCTACAGGGAGAAAAGAATAAAGTCCGGAGATAAAACCAGGTCCAGTTGATCTGCAGACGTCAGTGAGACAGATCTGTGTGTGTGTGTGTGTGTGTGTGTGTGTGTGCGTTACCTTTCCTCCAGGTGACGGCAGGTCTTGGCGCTCCACTTGTTTGGCAGGTAAACACGGCCGTGTTCCCATCAGTTACTGTTTGGTCAGACGGGGGGGCGATGAAGGAGGGGGCGACACCTGGAGGACAGAGGAGGAAGGACAAGGACGGAGGAAATAATCCAGGTCGTTTCTAAGGTAGTGCTTGACTGTGAACGTGTGTGTGTGTGTGTGTGTCCTGTGAACTGACTGGAGACCAGCAGATGTGTGTGAGCCTCCACCTCTCCGGCCGAGTTTCGAGCGACGCACTGAAAGATCCCTCCGTCTCCCGGCTGCACCCTGCGCACCGTCAGCCCCGACGCCGCCACCACCTTGTAGCGAGGGTTGGCCAGTCTGGAGAGGGGGACGGCGTCCTTGAACCACTCCACCCTGGGCTGAGGAGAACCTGGGACAGAGGGACACAAACAACACTGGAGCGGGGTCCACACTCTCCTGGGTGAGGGGAGGGAGGGGGCGCATATGTGGACCCCCCCCCTCACCCAGGACTTTGGAGAGGAAACTGATGTCGGTCCACAGACGAGGCACAGACGAGGCACAGACGGGGGTTATGACCTGAGTCCACGTTCTTCAACGTACCTGAAGCCAGACATGGAATATCCACGCTGCGGTCCAGATCAGCAAACGTCGTCGTCTTGGGTCGAGACGTCATGAACGGCGGCTCTGCAACAAAATAAATAAATAAAAAACTGGGAAAACTCTTCAATCTTTAATTTTCAGATAAAAAAAAGGGAAAACGTTAAAGAAGAGCAGAGAGTTTTCATTCTCTCAGAGTAGAAGAAGGTGACGGACAGAACGTCTTCAGGTCTGGACTGATGTCTCCAGGTCTGGACTGATGTCTCCAGGTCTGGACTGACTGTCCACTAACCTGGAGGGCCGTCCTTGGCCCACAGGCCTTGAGTTTGACATCTGCTGTTCATATACATATATATATATTTATATGTCGTTTCTTCTTCTCTGGGCGTTGGTTCTTTTCTTCCTGAACTTTTCTTTTCTTCTAGAAAGAACATAATCTCATGAATCAGAAGCTCACCGCCCGTGAACGTATTGTTTTTTTCCCTCATTTCTGGGCGCGTATGTCGAGGAGCGGAGACGACTGTGATGACAGGGCTGACGTTCAAGAACTTTCTCTCAGCTCTTAACAATTGTCAACTGAGGAAAACAAAACCAATTTAACTGCAGTGA